CAAATCACAGAGTGGCAGATGACAGGAGGGTCAGGGCATGGTCCTTGTCCCAAGAGGGAAGCGACCGGACTGGACAGAGTCGGTGGAGAATGAGAGCTCAAGGCTGCCATCCAAGGTTGGTGCCTTCTCCCAGAGAGCAAATGTGGGAAACTCTGACATTATTTCAAGTCACCTTGCTATGTGACCAGAGATGTCTGCAGCCCACATTGAGCCTACAGTAGCCACTCTGTGAGTTCTTAATTGACATGCACCTCTGTCTGTCCTTAAGGATGTGGCCACTTCCAGGGGGCAGGGTGTATCAGGGGCTGACTCTTCCTGTTAGGAACGATCTCCTGAGCTCTGAGTCCCTTCCTCAAGTCTGGCTGCCACCTCTCAGGACAGCCCTGGGAAGACCGGTGCCCTGCCCACCTGCCCATGTTTCCACCTTGCCAATTGTAGTGGGACATGTCAGGCAGCTGTCACTGTCTCAAGGAGACAGTCAGGGCACTAAGAAAGGCAGCAGGCACTCTAGGTACTATCTGACCTGGGGTGGGTGCTCTCTGTTTGGCTCTTGGGCTCCCTGCTAGCATCCTCTGTTCTATTTCAACATGCACTTGCTGCTGGGAGGGGTTAGGTGATTGGGTGCAGATTTACTCAAGTGTGGGACACAGCCGAGGTACACAGAGGCTCCTGGGCATCTTGGACATGGCCTCTGCCGGGTGCTTGGCACCCACCTAGCCAGCAGGAGTGGATATCTGGGTGCTGAGGAGCTGACATTTCAGCACAGCCTGCCAAGTCCCTAAGGCTGGCACGTGGCAGCGGGGTGGGAACGGTATGCAAGAGAAGGGAGACATCAAGGTGCTAGGGGCTGGGCAGGTGACCTTTGGGAGGAGGGGGCGGGGAGCAGCTGGCCCCCAGCTGCCTTCGCGGAGGATGCTGACTGCATGCGCACGCGTGCTCATGCTCCTGTGTGCGCGCAGAGGCTAAAGGCTGCACCAGAACAAAGAGCTGGGGGCTGGGCACCAAGGGCCCCACGTGGAGCCGATTGCCAGCACGGCTCGGTGCAGCGTCTGGCTGCACTCAGCTCCGGACCGCCCGGCTCCGATTCGCGGGCACACACACACACACACACACACAGGAGGCACACGAGGCGCCGCCCCACGATGCCCAGCCAAGCTCTGTAAGCGCACTGTTACCGAGGCTCTCAGCGTCGTGGCTTGCAGCCAGCTCGCCTGACAAAGCACCTCTCCGCCCCCATGATCTCATCCGTGCTCCTGGCCCCAGCTCACAGCTACAGACGAGGAGGGGGAGGCAGGGAGGGAGAGACAGGGACACCGGTGTGCACACTGGCGCACGGCACACAGGATCACACTGGCCTGGCCACACATGCATGCACCCACAAAGCCATACACCACAGCCCACACTGCCCATGGACAGCCACACACACACACACACACACACACACACACACACACACACACACCCCCCAAGCCCATACTCCACAGCTTTACATCCATCCCAAAGCCCACAACCCACACAACTGCTAGGCACACACATACCCACAAAGCCCACATCCCACACAGCCACACAGGCACTCACACATACAAGCTACTACACCACACACAGCCAACACGCCACACTGCCAGACACACGTACCCAAGCCAAGCGGTGTCCCTGGACAGTTGTGCACGCAAAGGCACATAAATACCTGAGACTCTCACACAGCCACGCACACTAGCTCCATACACAATACATATACATATACAGTCATGTACATGCACCACAGACAGATACACCAGGCACGCACACAAGATGGCCACACACACGTGCTCACACTTCATGGCCACATCCACACAGCCACGCACTCCACACACACACAGCCAGGCAAGTGTGTGCAACCATATGCACCTCACACAGGGAGAAACCTAGAAAGACACAGAGAGGAGCAGGAAGCCAGACATGGACGAGGGCCACAAGGGAGGGACAGATAGATGCCAGAGACCCACAGGGATGCAGAACAGGGAAGATGGTACAGGTACCTCTGACACAGCAGGTACTCGGACAGACACACAGATAGACAAGGAGACAGGGAGGAGGGAGCACAGAGAACTTGGGTCACAGGCTTTCTGAGGACAGAGAGCTCGAGGAGGCAAGGGTTTCTGGGGCAGGGGACTGGAAACAATGGCTCCTGGCTTTCCAAGCAAGGGACAGCCATGCTTTCTAAGGGGGTGGCCTGGAGAGTGTTGTGTGACAGATATAAGGGCCTGTGCGTGGGATGGGGCTGTGGAGACTGGGAAGAGGAGTATACCGCTGGGGGTGCAGATGAAGGACACACCCAATCCAGGATCCATTTGGTGCCCGTGACACTGGGAAGGCCGTGGAGGCCCTGCTGGAGAGACCTTTGTGGGGCCAGGTGCTCCCAGATCCTGGGCCAGGACAGAAGTCCTCAGATCTAGGACCCAGGCAGCCCTGGAGTAACTGTGACACAGCAGGCAGAGCCAGCCCTCTTTTTGCCTGGGTCAGGAGGCAGGAGTTCAAGCCCAGCCATGCCGTGCATGAGCTGTGTGACCTCAGCCAAGTCCCTGGATCTCTCTGAGCTCCAGGCCCTCATCTATATAAATATAAATAATATCCTGTGCCTCAATATCTCAACTATTGCCAAAACTGAAGACCATCCGGCATGCAATGGCAGGGAAGGAACTCCGTTGGAGGGGCGGCTGGGGGGCCTGAGCCCCTCTCCTCCACAGGGGAGCAGACGGCTCTTCCTCTTTGCCTTCTACCTGTGCACTGCCTTCCTTCGCTTTGCATGGATGGACCCCAGGGCCTCTATCACTGAGCTGCCCCCAGGCCAGTTTTGCCTCTCAAACATCCCTCTCCTCCCCACGGGCCAGTGTCCGCACCCTGACCGTCCCAGGGATCTGCCAGCTGCCCCTCTGAACCCACCCAGGCCCCTATACAGGCCCGACTTTGGTAGCAGGAGAGGTCTGCCAACTGAGAAGCTAGGAATGTTTCCATCACACTCACGACGAAGACCACAAGGCGACCTTCAAGAAGGCCCTGCACGTTCAGTTGTTGCTGACCATGCCAGCCTCACCTTTGCCGCATGTCCCCGCTGGGCTCCAAAACTTACTTCTGACACAAAGCCTCACTCCAGGACCTTTGCGCATTCTGTTCCCTTTACTTGCAAAGGAAGCTCATACTCCTCTTTACCTATTCAATTCTTTCCCGACCTTTGGACACCCATCACAGGGTGGTCGGTGTCCCTGTGACGACCTATGGCTTCCCTGACTTCTCCCCTCATGGGCTAAGCATGGCTTCAGCTTGCATATGTGCCCCACGCATATATACACCTGCAATCATTTGATGGTTTTTTTTCTTCTAGACCAGGGGCCACCATGCTAACACTTGATTCCATGAGTAAAACTGAGCTGGGACTAGCCGTGCTCATTCCTTTACACATGGTCTACGGTTGCTCTGGTTGAGCCCACAAGGCCTAACATAGATTCCATCCAGTCCTTTATGAGAAAAGTATGCAGAGCCCTCCCGCCAGGTCCTGGGTTTCTGCAGCCAGGACCCTGCCTGTTTGGTTTCCCTGGACTGTGGCCCTGGCGGGTACCTGCACATATAGAGCATACACAGGAGATGTGTGTTTTGATAAGGACAGATTTTCCTTGTCTCAATCATATGGACCTGGGGTATTACAACAGCAGATCCCGTCCTGACAGATATGGCCCCTGTGAGATTCCAAAGCCAGTTCTATGCAACAGCGATGTCCCGGCATAGGACAGATTGCAAGCTCGCCCGGCCCTCGCACACCTTTCAGTAAGTACAGCACGATGCCGGGCGTGGGCTGGAAGTCGGCACGGTGGGGGTGGGGATGGGTTCAGGCTCTGGCCAAGTGTGGCTGTGTACTCCCAGGACTTAGGAGGCTGAGGCAGGAGCATCACTGCAATTTGAAGGCCAGCCTGGGCTACACAGTAATTTAAGGTTGCCCGATGTCCGGAAGCCCAACCCAGACACACTCCAGAGAACTGGCTAACTCAGTGACAATGTCGATTTTATCTAAGGGAGATTACTGCTTTTGCATTTTTTTCTTTTCTGATTATTTGTTTTTAATCAATAAAACATATTAATAACACTCAGACACCATCTAAGCACTTTATGTACTTTTAGAAGTTACAATGACCCCTGCAAGATGGGTCCCGTGATCCTTGTAGCCTTCTCGAAGAGATAAACTGAGGCAGAGACCACACACCGAGCGGAGGTCAGGCTAGACGGTCGCAGGTCTGTCTGCTTTCAAGCTTGTGGGGCTGGTGGCCAATGTCAGACTGTATCTTTACTGTGCTTTAAAGCTTGCCAGAATGCTGCCTGGCTCTGTGGGTGGCCCCTACATCCCTCCCACGTGTTGACAGAATCGCAGTGCAGAATAAACCCGTATTATCAGGAACCCTGGATGTACTGCTACATTTTTGTTTTAATTTTGTGCACATATGTGGTTTTTGTTGTTGCTGTTTGGAGACAGGGTCTGGCTAGGTAGCCCAGACTGGTCTCAGACTCTCAGCGATCCTCCTGCCTCAGCCTTCCAAGTGCTGGGATTATAGGCGTGTGCCACCATGCCTGGCTCTTGTGTTTTGTTTTAAATATTTTAAAAATGAACGAATAAATGAACTAATGGGAATGGGCTATAAGGGTCAAGAATGCTGACCCTGGGATACAGCTTTGGGACATTCCAGCCTTGTGACCCTAGGATATCTCTTCTGCTTCTCTGAGCCTCAGTTTTCTCATCTGGTCGAGGGGGACAATCCCAGAGTGATGCCCAGGGATCAATGTGTCACTGAACAGAGGATATGCTCTCTGCTTTAGCACAGGACTCCTTGCTGGCCCTGCAGTGCCCCTGGAGAGCTGGGTGACTCCTCCAAAGAGGCTTTCACACACATAGACCATAGGCCAGTGCCCCGGTTTAGAGTTGAGTCCACTCCCCGCCTCCCAGCGGCGCCCGCGAAGGACCAGCAGACACTTACCCGCAGACTTGGGAGTGAACTTGTCTCGGTTCGCAGCACACACGGCCAGCAGCCTGTAGCCGAGGTCCAGGTCAAAGCCTTGCTGGGCTGCCACCCGACTGACCACCTGCCATAGGGGGAAGCCACGGTGAGCTGTGGTGTTCAAGGACCCTTGGCACCCGGGTCCCGGGTGAAGCGGGCAAGTGGGGCAGGTGAGAGCTGGTCATCTTTAGGGCAGGCTGAGCCAAGGAGTCAGGCACCTCCCAATCCTGGGCTCCAGGAATTCTTGCCCTCCTCCTGCTCCTGAGTTCCTACAGGTAACATTGTGGGGTGCTCACTATCCCTGGCTATTGATAACTCCTCAGCATCTTGCAGGGAACTTTTAGAAATGTAGACTCTGGCCAGGTGCGGCTGCACATACTTATACTCCCAGGACTTAGGAGGCTGAGGCAGGGGCATCACTGCAAATTGAAGCCCAGCCCGGGCTACACAGTAAATTCAAGGCCAGAATGAACTGCAGGCTCTGGCCCCTCCCCACTTTTCCTGTCATCTGTATCCCATGAGTCACACAGGAACTTTGGGACAGAGCCCCCCAAGGAATGCTAGGGAGTCCCTGGCTGGGTGAGGTTCCTGATTCTGCTCTGGACTTGGCTCCATGCCTTAGAAAGGCAGGACTCGGGTACTCTGCCTGCATCTGACCCAGCCCAAGTCTGGGAGTGGCACACCCCACTCCACCCCACCCACCCCCGTCCGTGTCCCCAGAGGTCCCATCCATCTCTCAAGGGAGGGCTGGCAGGCCCCACATGGCTCTGGAGGCCCCTGCGTGTCTGGCTTCACTCCAGCCTTTGCCCGTTCCCAGGTGTCCCATCACTGCCAGGTCTGCTCCCTCTCTGCCCGCCTTCCTCATTAACAGAAGCCAAATTAGGTTTCCTTATTAAGAAGAAAAGGACCTTGGAAAATGGAGGCGCTGTGCGGAACAGCTGGGCTGGCCATGGCTGAGGGGGAAAGGAGCCCCCTACATGTGGCGGCTGAAGCTTCTGAGAAGTGGAGGGCGCTGTTGGCAGGGTCAGGGCCACATGCCCCAGAGGCGCTTGCGGGGCCTCGAGGGGCACTGGCTGCTGGGAGCTCTGGCCTGGGCCTGGGGTCCTTCAGAATGGCTCTCCACTTCACTTCCGGTTTCCAGGGTCTGTGTTTGGAGTGCTAAGGCTGAACAGCGTTGGGAAGACCTGGCCTGCAGGGACCCTTGGAGCAGAGCCCTGGGCCCCTCTCCTAGGGACGCCCTGTGCAGGGTGATGTCTGAGCCTGGCTGGGTGGAGAGGACCCATGTCACATTATGCTGTTTGCACAGCTTCCCTGCTGCAACTGGAAGCCCAGACCTAGCATGCTTCCCTGTCTTTTTCCCACAGACGTCTGGGTGTCACCTCATGTCTCTGGGCGATCCCCAGTGGAAGTGTCTGTGCCATCAGCCTCACAACAAAGACCGAGGCTCCTAACTTGCTGGCCTGCGTGGTATTTCAAGTCTGCTGGCAGCTACCATCTGCAGTTGGGGAGGACGGGGGCCAGGGCCAGTTCCGCTCAGACACTGCCTCAGGAGCCCGCAGGGGGACACAGCCACGCAGCAGTGCAGGGACAGGTGCGGCACTTACAGGGAGTCTGGCTGCAGTCTCGGCTCTCTCTGGAACAGGACCTCCTGACTGGCTCACAGAGGGTTAAAGCCACAGCGCCTAGCCTATAGCCTAGCCTCAGGGAGACCCTGCGCCTGGGTCAGGGCAGGAAGGCAGAGGTCCTGTGTTTGGCCAATACTGGCTCATCCTGTTGCTCTGGTTTTACAAATAATCCTGGCTGGGTTGAGCAAGAGGGGCCTGGTGCTGCTTTTGCGTAGGCTGCAGGTTGCAGGCGACGGCCGGGACACTAGCACATCTGCTTATGGCCAAGTCCCTTGGACCCTGGCATTCAGAGAGGGCAGGAGCCCTCTCTGTCACACAGCACCGGGGTGGCCCTGAGAGTGTTTCATTCCTGTCTCCAGTCCGAGGACCCCGGGAAAGCCCTGCGAGCTGGGCTGTGACTGGCAGCTGGGGTCAGAGAGGCTGCTCCTTCTACGGTGGCAGGAGAGAGTCCCCACCGCATGAAGATCACCCCCAGCACCCCAGCAGCCGGGATAACTGGCCGGGGCCTAGTGTGCTAGCTGGGCTCTCCCTGGGCGAGGGCAGGACATCCAGAATGGTGGCTCAGCCCCACCGCTGGAGGAGGGAGGGAGGCTGAACGCTGCCCTGGAGTGTTTCATTCCTGTCTCCAGTCCGAGGACCCCGGGAAAGCCCTGCGAGCTGGGCTGTGACTGGCAGCTGGGGTCAGAGAGGCTGCTCCTTCTACGGTGGCAGGAGAGAGTCCCCACCGCATGAAGATCACCCCCAGCACCCCAGCAGCCGGGATAACTGGCCGGGGCCTAGTGTGCTAGCTGGGCTCTCCCTGGGCGAGGGCAGGACATCCAGGATGGTGGCTCAGCCCCACCGCTGGAGGAGGGAGGGAGGCTGGCCAGACACAGCACCTCTCACTTGAATGTGCCTGAGCTGCTTAGGGGTCTGCAGCCAAAACGTGTCCATCTGCCGCCCACGGCTAAGTGCAGCTGAATTTCTATCCTCAGCAAAAGCCAGGCCCGGAGTGACCTGGAGTGAACGCCAAGGTCACCCAGGGACCTCGGCAATTGGAGGGAGCCTGTGTGGGGCAGGGTAACCGACTAGGCGGTGGGGAAGGGACGCATTTCCGGCCCCACTATCCTCCCTGGGTGCCCAGGACGCCTCCACCCCCCACCAGAGCTCAGGCCTTGCCTGCTGCAACAGGTGGGTCGGTGAGGGGATGCAGGGGATGGTGCATCCTTGCATCTCTGTCCGTGACTCCAGGGAGCCCCCATCACCCACCATTCAAGGTCGAACCTCCCCGACCCCCCAGCTTTGGTCCCCACACAGATCCCATGTCCCCTCACCGACTGCTTACCGCACTGTGGCTCACACCCAGGCTCTCATCGCTGAACCCACAGGCGAGTGAGCTCTTTTCTGCTTCCTTCTTCCCCTTCCCCAAGGCCCCTCCCCTGTTTCTTAACCAGCTTTGGCCTCAGGGCCTTTGCACATGCAGTTCCTTCTGTCTCAAGTACCCTCCTCTGCTCCTCCCGAGGAGGTCAGCTCAGGATTAAGTTCCTGACCTGGTGTGGACTATTTACTTCTCCCCACTGGTAGAGAAACTCCCGAGGGCTGAAATGTTTACTGAGTGAATGGGTGAGCCATGGGGTGGGGCAGAGCCTGTTACTGTTCATCCAGGCTGGCCAGGGTGCCTGTCCTGTTCAGTCTTGAGTCCGGTGTTGAAAGTAGCGCCAAGCTCAGGGCTGCAATGCTAGGGGATGGCAGAGGCCCGACTGGCCGGCCACACGTTGCACAGGGTCCCACCTCCTTCTTCCCCTGCAGCTGCTGGCAGGAAGCTTGGGTAACATCTGGCCCTGTCCAGGGGCTTAGGCTGAACCCAGATCCCCACAAGGAGGATTAGGGCAGTTGGGGGAGGGGAGGGGAGGGGAGGGGAAGGAAGGGGAGGGGCTCCCGAGGGCTGGAGGATACGGAAGACTGGGCTGTGCTGGCGACCACCTGATAGTGTGGGCTTCGTACACAGGGCGCCCTGGCGGGGTCCGGGCTGCAGCCTTGGCTAGCATCCGAGGGGCCGTGAACACCCGCTTCAGAGGCACAGCCTTCGCTGGAACCCCTGGGTCAGGTACAGCCTCAGAGCTGCACCGGCCCACCTTACACTGGGCTCAGCGAGACGCCATGTCCCCGCCAGCTTAGCCTCGCCTGGGACGGGTGCTTTGTCATGATGGCCTGAGACACAGTTACCGCCGCTTCCCTCAAGCTGGGCCTCTGCTTCCTGCTGGGAGCTTTTTGGGAAACACAGGGCCCTTGGACACTTCCTGCCAGCCAGGCCTCCTTCCAGGGCCTTCTTCTCTGAGCCCTGGGATGGGCAGACTCCCAGCAAGGGGCTCCTGAGAGGCTGCCCTCGCTGGCCTCAGGAATGCAGGCCACACAGCGGGGGACACGCACGAGCTATGAGCACTTCCATGGGGTTCTCTGAAGCCTGGCAAATCGATCTGTGGGCTCTGCCCCTGCCCAGCGCGCCGTTCAGAGCCTCACCCGCTGCTCTGTGCTCCTGGACGTCAGGTCTTTGCATACACCGTCCAAAGCAGCTCGGTGCGGCGTCCATGTACATACGGGGCTCGGGCAGCTGAGGGATGCCCCTCTGTCCACCCCTTTATTTTGTATGTGACCTTCTCCGTCATCTCTTTCCACACCAGCCACTCTGCCCATGAGGCCATCGGGCCTGGGCAGGTCTTTCTCATTGTTGGCTTCCCGGGACTCATGTGGCAGAGGGGATCCCATGTGATAAATGAGGATCGGTCAATGTTTATTTGGCTAGACGGGTGGATGTAACAGGGGCTCAATAAATGCTTCTACAGTGGATGGATGACAATAAGGAGAGCTCAATAAATGTTTAGTAAGTGGATGAATCAATGACTTGATAAAGAATGACCGGAAACCCTTCACGGCTCTTGCTGCTTTGCTCCGGACGGAACCCTGGCCCCCAAAGTGGGCGCTCGCTGCGTTGTGTCTCACCCGGCATGGGGGGCCCTCGTCACTCACGGGCCATGGCCAGGGGGTGGTCACTCACCGTGAGGCAGCCCATCAGGCTCTGCTCAAAGGGCCGCTGGAATGCGCGCGGGTCCCCACACCAGTCCAGCAGCTCCGTGGCGGCATTGTGGAAGTTGGCGGGATTCTGTAGGTGCTGTGGGAGGGAGAAGAGGCAGTTTAAGGTGCCACGTGGAGGCTGCAGGGGGCAGCACTCAGGGGTCCGAGACGGGAGACTCACAGAGGGGCAGCTGGGGTCTGGTGGCTTCTCAATTTCCCCACCTCCCCACAGCAGGGGAGGTCAGCAGCCTTGTGGCCAAGGCCAGTGGTAGAAGATGCCCCACCGTTCCCACTGTTCTCAGGGCCAGGAGTGGCCCTGCACGATCTGGCAGGGAGGGGCATCCGGCCAGGACAGGCCGGCATGGGAGAGGAACACCCACCCCTCGTCCCATCCACCTCCCAGCCTGGGCCTGGCCTCTCAGGGCTCTGGCTTCAGAGTAAGACCAGGGTGGAGAATGGGGGAGGCCATGCCCTGCTGGAAAGGGGACCAGGAATATGGGCCTCTGGGGCTCCCACTATGCTATGGCTCTGTGCCCCCAGGTACCTGGGTCCTGTCTGCCTCAGATGGAGGGCCACTGGCATTGCAGTGTGGGCTCCCTTCCCAGCTGAGGAGTCTGAATTTTAATGCATGGGCCTTCCAGTTTATTTCAGGCCCATGGAGGGGAGGTGGCTCCGCATGCCCTTTCCTTGGGTGATGCTTGGCCATATCTTCCCACTACCCTGAGTTGGGTAGTGAGACCAGCAGGTACAAGACCTGCTATTCCTGGGATTCTGGCTGGGACTTGGGCCCAGGAGTGCGTGTGGCTGACTGTGTCCCCTGGTGGTCCTACAGGATGTCCACAAGGACAGAATGTGAGACAGTGGCCCAGCTGCAGGATGGTGGTAGATTGGGGGTCCTTGTGACCCAACCAGCAGCACAAGCCTGGAGTCGAGGCAGGTTCCTAAGGTGGAGGAGGGCGGTGTGTGCTGTAGGAGCTCCTGAGGGGCAGGGCCCAGGGTCCTGCCTGCCAATCCCTCCTATTAGTGCTGATCTAGTGCTGTCCCCGTCTGTTAAAATGGGACAACCAACCAAAGTGTGGCAGAGGGAGCTTTTGTTTTCTGCATTTGGGGTCCTCGACTGTTACTATGGTGTGGCTTGTATAAGACAAGGTTTGAAATCAGAGAGAAGAAAGTGCCACGCATGAGTCTCCTCCCTCAATGTGGAAAAATAAGAGAGAGCAAGAAGGCAAGGAGGGTGGGCGAGCAGCAGCCAAGCCCCCCTCACGAGGCCGGTGGGGCGTGGCTCAAGCACGATGGGGTGCGTGAGTGCTCCCACGTGGGTGGCCGCCTCCCACGTCCCAGGTCCCCTGAAGCACAGCTGCTTGACCACCTGTAGCCGTGCTGTCTGCAGAGCTGGTGCTTGCTCCCTGCCCTCAACTCCAGCAAGACAGAGAGGACTTCCCGGCTTCTGCCTCCTGTGCGCCCTCCTAGAGTGCGCCCCCGGGGTGGCACCTGGCTCGCTGCTGCCCACTAGGTCCCCTGCTAACCAAGTTGTTCCATTTATTTATGTGATGTCACAGCCAATTAGTAGGGTCAGCAGCCACTGCTCTCTCAGAGCCGTTTGCTCTGTGACGGCAACAGTTCCCTCTGCGCAGCTAGTCTCAGCTCCATGGTCGTTCTGGTGCCGGAGCACCCAGCCTTCCGATCGGCTGATTGGTATTCTTTTGAGACAGGGTCTCGCTGTGTAGCCCAGGCTGGCCTTGAACGCATGGCGATCCTCCTGCCTCAGCCTCCCAAGTGCTAGGATTAGAGGAGTGTACCACAGGCCTGGCCTCCATGTCTTCTTGGCAGCCTGAGATCCCTGTCCCTCCCCTGCCGGCTTGGCTCAGGGAGTCTCACAGGTAGGGCAAATGTCTGGCACACCTGAGCAGGCCACGGGCAGCGGCTCTGTGGCCTCGCCATGGGCCCCTCCCCTCTCTGTGCCCTCATCTCTTGTTTCACCAGAAAGACCAAGTGCAAGACACACCGGGGCCCACCCTCCAGCCTGTGCGGCGAGCAGCCCCAGGAACATCACCGAGCTTCAGAGTCCTTGTCTGCAACTTGGGGTGGCGACAGCTCGTGGGGCCGTGGCCAAGGTCAGAGTCCATGTGTGTGAGAAGTCAGGGACTGGTGCCCAGGGATAGCCTGCTCCTGCTGCGTGTGAGCCTGAGTTCTAGTCCTCGCTTCTGGGGAGCGCCTGGAGGGGAGAGACAGCCCCCTGCTCCCCTCTGGAGCCTGGAAGACGGGCACGAGGCGGCCCTGCAGGAATGGTGGGCGGCAGCTGCTGGTCCTAGAGATGCCTCACCACTTCACAATGGGACGGGGGACACAGGGAGGAGGCCAGCCGTGCCGGGCTGGGGGCGTAGCCTGGACCAGAGGCAGAGGCCCTGGCAGAGAGCCTGCCCATCTCTGAGTCCTCGGGATGCAGCTACTTCCCATGGCTGCTGAGTCTGTGGGAGGAAGCAGGGCACACACTGCCAGGGCAGGACTGGCTGTCCTAGAAGCAATGGATTCATCACACACAGCTGCCCACAAGTCCATCTGTGAATCAAATGGTCTGTCCATCCATGCATCCATCCGTCCATCCATCCCTTCTATCCACTCCTTGTCTCCATCTCTGGGGCCACGCTGCCAGATCCCCTGCACTGGGCACCAGTCCAGACTCTGCAGCCTCAGAGTGTATGTGTAGGACCAGGGGGAGGCGCTAGAGGACAGGTGGAGGGTGCGGGGAGCTCGGAGGGCTTGGCGGGCATCTGAGAAGCTGCTCGTGCTCACACGTGAACCCAGGGCTCCGTGTGCATGCAAGGCGGGCAGCTGGGGCTCCAGCATTCCTGCCAGCATCCAGCCATTCCGACGCCCATTTTACAGCTCAAGAGAAGCGGGTGTCACAACTGCTGTTTTTGTTTTTTGGTCCTGGGCCTTTGCACGGAGCTACATTCTCCAGCCCTTTTTATGTGTTATTTTGAGACAAAGTCTCCCAAAGTCTCTAAGTTGGGCCTCCGTCTGTGGGGGAACCTCAGCTCCACAGGGGATGCCAGGGGGCCCTGTTGCCCCAGCTTCCAGGGGAAGGTGAGGTCCCTGAGCTGAGGAAGTGCAGGGAAAGCCACCCTGAGCCGAGATGCCGAGCACAAATCACCACTGCCATCGCCTGGCACAGGCCAGGGCTGGACAGCGTGTGTCACAGTACCTCCCAGTGTCCTATCAGGGAGGCCCGTGGGTGGCATTTAACGCATAGGGAAGCTGAGGCCTGGAGAAACAGTATCCAGCCTAAGATCTCGCCACGGGGACACCTGGCCCTGGACTCTGCACTGGCTCTGCGCGCACTACTCACAGCCACCACTGGGGGCAGCCTGGGAAGGGCCCACCTCCCACCAATCCAGAGAGGGGAACCATGAACCAGTGTGGACCAATTGTGAAGCAGGAAGAGGTCCTCCCACTACCAATGGCCTAATGCGGGCTGGTGTGACCTCAGGCTACTTTCTTCCCTGGCTGTGTCATTTTACTTTCCTGTAAGAGGATCTATTTGCCCGGCGTGGTGACACACAGCTATAATCCCCGCACTCGGGAGGCCAAGGCAAGAGGATCACTGAATTCAAGACCAGCGTGGGCAACTTCATGAGTTCCAGGCCAGCCTAAACAATGCAGCCATACCTTGTCCCTAAAACCCAGTAATAACAGTAATAATGATGCCAACATTTTAAAAGAGCTTTAACTCCCCAGGACTTTTTCTTCTTTTGTAACGTTTATTAGCCAACAGCTGGGGCAGAGGCAGGGTGCTGAGGTCTGGGCAGCGAGGAGGCAGTGTTAGGACTTGGCTGCGTCTTTATCCCAGCAGAGAGTACATGAACAGAGATCAGGAGGGTGTCATACTGACTCACAGTCACACAGCAGGGAAGGGACAAGGCAGCGCTGGATTCCAAAGCCAGGCGTGTGTAATTCCAGCATCTCGCCGGTCCCTGTCAGGGAGCCCGAAACCCTCTAAGGCCGGCACACCAGCCCACCATCCCGCCACGGCCTGCCCAGCCCCTCCTGCCCATGCACGCCCACCTGCTTGATACACTGCAGTCGGTCGTTGGTCTGCTGGATGTGCCTGTCCATAGAATTCATCCTGGCCGTGTCGCTGGGCTCTACCCGAGAGCCATGAACGTTGTCCAGCCTGCATGGAGAGAGGGGCGCATCACTAGCTGGCCCGTGGACCTGCCCCAGCCCCACACTGCAAGGGCCAGGGCTCTCTGTACCCCAAGATCTCCTGCCCCCCACACCCTCCCATGGGGGGGCACAGCTGGGGTGCCCCACTCGGCTGAGGGCAGAAGGGACCGCAGGGCAGGTGCACATGGTGTGTGACTCGGTGGGGCCACCCTCACCCCAGATTCCTGGTTCAAGGCTCAGCCCACTGGATACAGCTGAGTGCGTACACACACGGCTCGGGGACTGGCCTGTGTGACAGCTGTCACTGTACAAGGGCCGCTGTGCATCCCGGCAGATGCCACGTGCCTTCCTCAAGGTCCTCTGGATTGAGAGCCACTCACAGTGAGTGGTCCCAATTTTTCCCCTCTGCCTTCTGGCCAAAAAGGAAAGCAGATAAGAGGCTCCCCAGTTCCAGCAAGCCCCACGCACTCATCCCCAGGCCACTTGAGGAGGCCCTGACAGCAGTGACAGGTGGACACCAACACCCACCACTCTTCAGGGCCTGCATTCCCGCTGCAGACTGGAGAGTCTGTTGGGGAGCAAGACAGCAGCCTCTCTCCCCCACCCTCATCTCCGGCGTGTCACCGGATGTCCCCTGTATGGGACTCTTTCTGGGTATGGTGCAACACATCCTCTCCTTCGCTCTTCTCCCACTCTTCATTCTGCGTCTGGCACTATCCCCACATCAGAGGACACTGAGGCCTGAGGGCTGCCTGGCCCCGCGTCTGGGAGGAGCGCAGGCCGGCTGGACCGTCTCAATTTCTAACAGCTGCACAGTATTCCCGGGTACGAGAAATCAACTAATACCCAATGCCAGCTCCTTGCCAAGAGCTGTCCCATAGCCTGAGGCCTGCTCTGGGGACACAGGCTCCCGCAGCCTGCTCTGACAGGACCGAAGGCCATTCCCAGGTCACCGGAGGGACTTTGATACTCGCCCACCATCCACGTGTACCCTAACCGGAAAACACACCGGAAGTGGAAGGGCCTGTCATCTGCACGCTTGTCCTGAGAACGCTTTCTGGCAAGAGGGGAAAAGGAGAGGTTGTGCCACATTATTTACCTCTCTCTCCCTCCCTCCCTCCGCCGATCCTGCCCACAGTCACCATGCATATCACACATTTACCTCCCTGAGGTGCCATTTACCTGTCCCAGCACCAGTCTGTCCATTCATCCACACCTGCACACCTATCCCCACGTCTCAAGGTCACTTTGCAGCCAGGGGCCCAGTGGGCTGAAGGCACCCTTAAAGCAGGCCAGGCCAGATGTGGTGCGGCCTGTAATCTTGAAATCCCGGCACTTTGGGAGGCTAAGGAAGATTTCCAAGCCTGGGTAATGTAATAATTTGGTGAGATCCTGTCTCAAAAATTTTTTAAACAGGGGCTGGAGTGTTAAGTCACCTACAAAGGGCCTAGGTTCAATCTCCAGGACCGCTAAGAATAAAGCAAACCAAACAAAGACCCTGAGGCTAGTTTGGCTCAGGTACTGGCCTCAGAGTCTGAATGGGAACCCTGGGCAGGGTGGTGGTGGGTAGGCCTCAGCCCAGTCCCCAGGCCACAGGCAGAGGACAAAGGGTTTGTGGGCCCAGGCAGCCAGCAGGGGGCACTGCAGACAAACCTAAGAGCCCAGAGGGCCAGACACCTGCACTGTGCCTTAATCGCAGGAGCACCAGGGTATCCTAATCCAGGAGAGTTTTTCCCAGGTTTCCCTTTGTAGGACAGGATGGCCTGAGGGGAGGATGCGGGGGTGTCCCCCAAAGCTCTACCTACGCAGGAACAGTTCCCAGGATGGACATGGTGTGCAGTCCAGGCATTTCCTGGAGTCTGCGGGTGCTCACCCACCAGAGGGGACCCAAGCAGGCCCCAGATATCCAGATCTTTCTGGCCAGTGAAGTCTCAGGGCTATTGTTTCTGCCTAGTTAGATGACCGAGCCTCACTTTAGGAGACAAACAGCAGAGCCGGGTGTGGTGGCACATGCCTATAATCCCAGCACTGGGGAGGCTGAGGCAGGAGAATTCCAAGTTCAAAGCCAGCATGGGCTACACAGTGAGTTCGAGGCCAGCCTGGAATGCATAGAGGTGGGGGGATGAGGGGCAGAGGGGAGAGGAAAGGGCAAAGTGGGGACAGAACTGCCCAGGTCCTGCCCATGTCTGCTCCTGGGCCATCCTGTCTCAGGCCAGGGCTGAACTTAACTGGCTTCTCGGTTCAAGGATTTCCAGGATGCCAATGGCCAAAGGTGACCCAGGTGAGGTCACACGGCACGTCTGGGCAGGCTCTGGGCCCCAGGCTCTCCTCCCAGGCCAGGCTCCATCCTGCAGGAATCATGATAGGAGGGCCAGGCTTGGGGCATCTGAGATCAGGGGACAGGAGTGGCAGCTGGAGAGACAGCACAGGTCCTGGTGTATCTTAGTGTGCACAAGAACACACGTCACGGAAAAAGAAGGCCACACGGGTGAGACTACTTTGCTGAGCTGTCAAGAGGAGTGGCCGGAAATGGAGCCAACAGCAGCAGCAGCAGCAGCGACACATGGGCTGGGGGCGTGGTCCCCACAGTAAACAGGACCAGACCTCAGGCATGAGGATAGGTGAGATGCGCTTGGGAGGGGTGGAATGAGACCTACATTTGTTTCCACCGGCTGGGGTCTGGCATCTGGCCAGACCCTGGACACAGGTCTGGAGAAGTGATGCAACTGGTCCAAGGTCACACAGCCTTTGAGAAGCTGCTGGGTTAAGTTTTAAAGTCCCTCTGCCTTTCTTCATTAAAGAGTTGTTCTTTCTACTCCAACTGGTGGCCGGATCCACCTCATCATCAGTCAAGCTGCGACTGGACCCAAAAGATGTCATCTCCGTTCCACCCATCCCGTCCAAAGCCAGTTACATTTCCAAGGCCTTCTCTGCCTGAGCTCCCTCCCTGTGGGCTGGCTGGGGCTTAGAGGTGGCAGCGCCTGGCGGCCAGCAGAGGTCGCCCTCAGCTGCGGGAGCGCTGTCTGGCAGAAGCCTGGCCTTTAAGCTTCTCAGATCCTCCCACAGATCCTCAGTGGCTGCAGCTCCAGCAACCAGCGGCCTGGGCTCCCTCCTAGCAGCTCACCATCCTGTAACCATGGCCTCAGCCCTGGGTGCTGCGGAGCTGCTCCTAGGTGGGTGCCATCTGGGGATCCGGCCTGCTCGGGCCCTGCTGCCTCTTCTGTCTGAGCAGAGCCCTGGGGTGGGGTGTCTGCTGTACCCTCCTGCTGCGCGGACAGGGCGAGACACCGGGCCTCAATTCCCCCATCTGTACAGGGTTAGGCTAGTCTTCTTTGGCCACTTATGAGACGCAACATCTGAGGTTTCCTGTGTCAAGAACGTGGGCTCTTTGGAAAACTCTTCTTTGACAGAAGATATTTGGCTTCCACACTGTCCCATCCGTGCATGTCCCAGGGACCCCACAGATCCCTGCTTTGACGTACAGCGCTTTGCTGTGTGCCTTACACCTGGCCGGGCTTGATGTACGTACAGAAGCTTTCGGATGGTGATGGGGGTTTTGGCTGAGTCTCTTTGACTCCCAGGGGGTGAGAGTTTGCACTTCTCACCACCGAGCAAAGTGCAGGGAGGGAGGGACCACGCTGTCCTGCATCCTCCCCGGAAGAGGGGGAACAGAGGATGCTGAGGGGCCCTGGCTGTTCTAAGTAGGGCTCTTGGCTACCAAGATTGAGGGAGGCAAAGGGCCTGGCGTGGCTCCTCCCCGGACAAGGGGTAGGGTGCTCTCACTGCCCCAAGGCATGAAGAGCCCTGCAAGGAGCCCCTGCGGGTGGCAGGCCAGCCAGACAGGCTGCCGTGTGAGTGCAAATGTTTTCTTTCCCACATTTCAGGCCCAACATGTGCATCGGCACGTTGGACACTGTGCATCCCGGAGAGGCATTTGCACGCTGTGCGTATGTGTGCAGCACTTGCCTACGTGCCCCTCTGCACACTGCCACGCAGGGACGTGCACATGCAGGCTGCTGGCCTGGATGCACTCAAGCACACACATTTCAAGACAGCTTGCACAGACAAGTGGTGGGTCCCCAGGGAGCCGTGTGAGCAACGGTGTGCAGAAATGATTCAATCACCACGCACATCTGGAGCTCGGGTCCCCTGGGGTGACTGGTGCCAGCAGTGGCAGGGCTCTACCTACAACGGCAAGCAGAGGCTACGCTCCCAGACGTGGCCAAAGCTGCTGATCTGGGCACTGCCTGCTGCTCGGCGGCACAAGAGCCTGGGGTCTGAGGTCCAGGGGACCCATCCTGGCCAGTCCTCCATCAGCTTCAGACGTGCAGAGGGACACACATCCTGGCTTCATCTGGTGTTGCCCACTTGGGCTGCTCACTGCTGCACAGGCTGAGCTTTGAAGGCCATGGCCATGCTTCTGTGCCAACTTAAAGAATGTGACCCTGCCCATTCACCAAGGCCTGGCTCAGCTGCCAACCTCAGCAGAGCCATTCGCTTCTATCCTTGTCCCCTGGGTGTCTGTCCCCCCACTCCATCCTGGCGGTGCCAAATTTGAGGTGTCTTTGCCCCTATCGCCCCAGCAGCTGCAATGCCTCCCAGTTGAGCCTCTCCAGGCCCAGCCTGCAGCCCAGCATCCAGCAGGTGCTGATGCCGCACATAAAGAACTGGGTGGATGCTTGGCCATCGCTGTGTGCGCGTGGGGCAGGCGAGCCAAAGCTGAAAGCCCACAGACCCAGCCATCAACAAAGGATCCTGGGATTGGGGAGATGCCAGCCACCCAAGGGCTCCCAAGAAGCAATATACGTGCCATCGGTGGGACAAGGATGTTGGGCAGTCCTCAGGCAAACCTTTTAGATTTCCCAAGTGAGGTTTCTGGACCAGGCCAATGATCACAGGCGAATTCACCAGTGGTATTTACAATGAAACTAAATTTGGAGGCAAGGGCTGACTACGATGGGCTCTAGAAACGGTTTGGACACAGTTGGAATCAGGGGAAGGTGACCA